CTCATTGCAGTGGCTTCTCTTGTTGCAGAGTATGGGCTCTAGGCGCGCAGAGGATTCAGTAACTGTGGCACGCAAGCTCAGTAGTTGTGACTCACAGGCTCTAGAGCTCAGGGTCAGTAGTTGTGCCACACAGGCTTAGCTGCTCTGCGGCATGTGGGATCTTCCCAGACCAAGGATCAAACCCGTGTCCCCTGTACTGGCAGGTGGATTCCCAACCACTGCGCCACCAGGGAAGTCTAAGACCTGTAATTTTTAAATGTTCTCCAGTACAAGATCCAAAGGAGATTGTGTTGAGAGTACTGCTTAAAATCATTCCTCTTCATCTCTTAAGGAAGCACACACATCAAAAGGCAGATGAAAAAGCAGAGAAGAAAGTGGGCACTGTTTTCGGACTGAGGCCAAGGTGGGAGATGGGGAAAGGGTAGTGCTGGGAGGGTACCAAGGTTACAAGGAAGTGTTCCCACTGAACAATAACAAAAAAAGTAGCGCATTCTGGTATTTTTCAATCTAACTGCCAAACTCATACTGTCCACAAAATTATGTAAAGATGCATGTTCCCTTCTTAGGAGTCAAAAGAACTAATTATTGGGAGACAGATTTGTTCTTTAATATCTAATTTTCCTTGAACTGCTAAACCATTACAAACTATTTATTCAGCTAGTCTATTAATGAAACCTGAAAAAAATACATCTACATTTACAAGGACTTTGATATGCACATCACATTCAAGATCCTTATAGGCACAGCTAATCTGGCTAATTTACTGAAAAGAATCAGAGGTTAAACAAGAGTATTTAAATTGTGCTGTAAGCTTCCATATTTCATTTCAAAGTGGTTTCCCACAGTTAGTGAGGAGCTTTCAATAAGTAAAAGGAAAAATAGAGTCTGAAAGCAAAATTTTTCTTAAATACGGAAGACAACAGAGTATCTCACAATCAACCTTTGGCCCAAGAAATTTAAGGCTTATTAGTAGTCAGTGTAAAGCTTTGAGAGCAGAGACCTGCCTTTCTCTTCTGTAACTGCCAGAATATTTTATGCAGATAACTGTACCCAATGAGAGCTCAGTAAAACTGATTTGACCATTAGGACTGTGGTCCTGGATCTCAACAGATTCTCACATCCTATTAGATGCTAGGCACTGTTCTGGGAACAAAGGAAAACAAACAAGCAAACTCCTCTTTCTTAGGAATACAAGGTTCAGAACGGGGAACGATGGAAAGAAAGTGAAGTGAAGCTGTCTGTTATCCCTGAACCTTAAAATTTCTTTTTCATTTCTAAATTTTGAATGGTTGTGGTATTTATTTTTCACTTTTCTGCTTGGTCATAAAAAGAAATCCACTATAACACATCCCTCTTCTGAAAATAATTTGTATTGCAGCTTCTAAAGTTGTCTTGCCTTTACCATTCCTTCAACAATCTGCTTATTGTGTGCTACCCACTGCCACTGCACTAAGCACTGGGGATCCAACTGAACAAAACCAGAATTCATGCCTGCGTGGAACTACATTCTGGATGCAGTTACTTTCCTCAAAAAAGTAACACCACTTACCATGCTCAATACCATGAAAGAATTGACTATTGTGACAGAAATGGGGGGGGGGAGAGATGGAAGTGGGGACTATCTTAGTGAAGGTCAGGGACGTCTCACTGAGGAAGTGACACTTAAGTTGAGACATGAAAGGAAAAGTGACAATCAGGAGGAACAGTGTTCCAGGCGGAGGGAACAGCAAGGAAAAAGACCCACAGGTGGAAAAGTTTCATGTGTCTGAGGATGTGAGAGAAGGCCCAGCTATTGAGCTGTGAACATGAGGGTACATGGCGTGCGTTTATTTTTTGAGTATGTAATACACGCTAGACATCATGCTAAGTACTTCAGTGCATGCTCTTATGTAATCACTACCAGAAACCTATGAAGTTAGATACTCCATTTTCAAAATGAAATAAGCACAGGAGAGATTAAGAAACTTCAAAATCACATGGCAAGTGGTGGAGCTTGGATTCAATTCAATACAGCTTGAATCCAAAGACCACATTTTAAACTCAACCTTACAGCCAAAGTTAGAAGGTAGGCAGTAGCCAAATCACATGGGGCTTAATATGCCATAGTAAGGAGCTTGAATTTTATTTTAAATAAAGTGGAAACCCACTGAAAAGGTTTAAGCAAACAGTGACATTATCTGAGTTACATTTCTACTGTGGCTGTTGTGTGAAGGCCAGAGGGAGGCTAGGGAGGAGCTGTATGTGTAAAAGAAAGGAAACTAATAAGTAGCCAGGAAAGAAATGATAGTGGTCTGGACTAGAAGTAGACAGATTCAAGATCTACTCTGGAGCAGATCAAATTAGACTTGTCAATATTTTGGATAGACGGAATAAGAAAAAAGAAAAAATCTAGGATAACTCCCGGGTTTCTGGCTTTAGTGACAAATGGGTCGTGATTTATAATAATGAAGTGATTCAGAATCATACTAAGTTTGGGAAGGAAGGGTAGATTGACCCAATCATTCAATAAATCTTTATTAAGCTTCTACTATGTGAGGATACAGCAGAGTACAAAACTGTTTTGTTCTCACAGAGCTTACATCACTGAAGCAGGGGGCAGTTAGACAAATTAATATGTAAACCATAAGACGGTGGTAAGTGCTATGGAAAACAATAAAGCAGGTTAAGTGGGAAAGGAAGTTACTATTTCAGTTGAATAGTCCAAAGAAAGAGTTCCTCTAATGTATGAGCAGAGGCCTAATGGAATCAAAGGAAGGAGCCCTGGAGACTTCTAGAAGAAAAGAGTCCTGGGGCTTCCCAGGTGGCGCAGTGGTTGAGAATCTGCCTGCCAATGCAGGGGACGCGGGTTTGAGCCCTGGTCTGGGAGGATCCCACATGCCGCGGAGCAGCTAAGCCCGTGCGCCACAATTACTGAGCCTGTGCGTCTGGAGCTTGTGCTCCGCAACAAGAGAGGCCCGCGCACCGCGATGAAGAGTGGTCCCCGCTTGCCACAACTGGAGAGAGCCCTCACACAGAAACGAAGTCCCAACACAGCCAAAAATAAATAAATAAATTAAAAAAAAAAAAAAAGAGTCCTGGCAGTCTCAATAAGACTGCAGTGGTCCTGAAGCAGGAGTGTTCTTGGTATGTTTGAGGACTGGCAAGGAGGCCAGGATGGTACTGCAGAGTGGGTAAGGGAAAAGCAATAGGAGATCAATGGAGGAACAGACAATACAGAACTTTGGATAAGGACTTTGGCTTTTTTTACTTTGGGTAAAACAGGAAACCCCTGGAAGATGTGAACAGAGGAATGGAGGAGTGGTGTTACTCTGGCTGCAATATGCAAATTACACTATAAAGGAGAAAGGGTGGAAGCACAAACTCAAGAGGCAATAATCCTCTGGTGGACCAAACCAGGAGGGAGTGAAAGGGTTGGATTTTGGATAGGTTTTGAAGGGTGGATGGGATTTGTTGATGGGATTATATATGGTGGCATTAAGAGAGAAGTCGAGGAAGACTGGAAGGTTTTTTGGCCTGTGCCAGAGAGTGAGGTTACCATTTACTGGGCTGGAATGAGCATGAGAGGAACAGATTTATGATGGATAATCATGAATTCAGTATGCCATATTAAGATGGAGATTCTCATTACAAATTTAAATACAGACAGAGTATGCAGCTGTTTTCTTGATTTCACAAAGGCCTGGGCTGGAGATACAAGTCTGGCAGTCTTCAGCATATAGACAATATTTAAACTATGGGAATGAATCTAAGAAAAAGTATATAGAGAAGAGGGTCCAGAACTGAACCCATGATAAACTCCCATCAGTTAGACATTTCCATCTCATACCTAGTATTCTTATAATAAAACTGTATTAACTTTTAAAGCTATTACTTATTACATCAGCAGTTTCTAAAGTCATCAAGTACATCAATGAGACACAGTGATGAACTGAAAGACTGTATACAAATCTCCTCAAAAGAAAAAGAAATGAACTCCATTCATGATGAAAGGACTGTCAGCAACTCAAAAAACACTTCCAAATACAGCCGTTATATAATCCAGGGGTTAAATGCATGGCATATGGGTTCAGGCTGCCTGGAATTTAATTCTGGTCCCCACACTTATTATCTGTGTGACCCAGGGCAAGGTACTGTGCAGTTTCCTTAGCAGTATGTTACAGAAAATAACTTACCGGGTTGTTGTAAATGAATTAATACCTGAACTTTTGCACTGAAAAAATTAGCTGGCTTACTATCATTGACACTAAGTTATTGAAACAGAAGTTGGGCCTGAGAGATCTTGCAGCTAATCACACTAATTTTTCAATTATCTTAACCAAGGACTTGCAGGTCTCTTGTTTAAATTTCAAAACAAGGCCAAAACGCGTTCTTGAATTCTCTTAACTAAGGGCTTGCAGCTCCCAGTCTGGATTTTAAAACAAAGCCAAAACACATACCCAAACTCCTTAGCATCTAAAACAATCTTTGGAAAAGGGAGGAACTAGCTAGCCTAGTTCACACATTAGAGTAAGAATGTCTGATAAGATCCACCTGTGTGACACAGGCTACCAGGGCCCGAATCCCTCTTAACCAGTTATTTGATTCTCCTTTGGTCTCTCCTCTAGAAAATGAGTGCTTTCGAAAACAAAGGTTAAACCCAGCATTTGAATGGGAGTGGAACAAAGTACCGAGAATCCAACTCTATGGCAGTAATAGAAGAAGACAACCACAACCACCATCTATCTCTCTTCCCTAGTACCCAAGAGCACCGTGAGGTCAGACTCCTCTCGAGTGCGTTAGGGGGAAACGGCGACCTTCTCTCTTCTGGCCTCCATCCCCGACTCTCTCCTGGGAGCAAAGCGCCGGCGCAAAGCAGTTACCCTCCCTACCTCCCCCTCCTCTCGCTGGGCTCCGGGGCCCAAACTCAGGCTCCGGGCCCCAAACTCAGGCCCCAGGCTCCAGCCTCCGAGCCAGTGGAGACACCCGGGTTAGAAATCATAGGGCCGTGGCGGTTGTCGTACCTTTCACGGTCGCGGCCGTCGAAGTAGACGAAATCGCCGCTCTGGACGCACTTGGCGCAGGTCAGCCGCCGGCGGGTGGTGTTGCACAGTGGGCACCGCTCGACTGCCACGTACAGCCCCTCCGCATCGTCCACGGAGTCTACGAGGTCCCGGGCGACCGGCTGGGGCCCGCAGCCAGGAGCCTCCGGCGCCCGGGACCCCTTCCCACTGGGAGACGCCATGATGGCCTGAGAGCAGAGTCAGTCACGTGGGATTTTGTTTTCAACCAGGTGCATCCTGGGCGAGAAGGAGGAGGGGCCTGGGGAGGGGCCGGAAGCGCGGCGGGAGTCCCGCGAGACCCTCGCCCGGCCTCACCCAGCCTTCGGCCGCTGAGGGCCGAAGGGGCAGTGGCTTTTTCTGACTGCTCGGGTGCGGCCGCTTCTGAAGCAGGAATTATGTTTAGAGGGGCGAGTCAGCCCAACAGAATGTCATCAGCGGCTCAATCACGCCCAGGCTACACGTTAACGCCTCCAGCTTGTGCAAAAAATAGTAATACGATGCCCTAAGGATTCTGGGAAAACAGACTGGGAACACAATGAGGGAATTTCTGTCATTCGCTCTGGATGCTTTTAAATTTGGCTAAAACAACCGCAGAGTTGGGTGAGGGAACTGGGTCTTGGAACGAGGTTGAATTTTGGCCCACCCGCCTTCTTAATAGCTGTGTAATTCGGGGCAAATTCCTCACCTCTCTCTGCCTGTGTTCTTAACTGTTAAATGGAGAGAATTTCAGTACCCACCTAAGGATTAATAAGTAAATCCGTTTAATAGTAATCTGATAAGTACTTTACCAATAATAGCTAACCAGTGGAAACTGTACAGAACGTGTAAATCAAAGTTGTATCTTTCTGAAAAATAAATTTTAATGTCCAGCATTCCACCCCTTCTCTGGGCCATATCTTAAAGAATTTGAACTAGGTAGAATTTAACATGGTTAGATGACTCCAAATTTCTTTCTGTGGGGATAAATAGGGGGGGTTGGAGTATTATATCAGAGTAACTAGTGTTTGAATATGCCTGTACACTACAGAAGAAAAAAAATTAGGCTCATAGGTCAAATAATCAAGACCACTGATTCTCAAGGATTGTTTTGGCAGGCTGTAAATTAATGACTGCCCTAAATTCTCTCTCCAGCTAGGGCTTCTCTCCCAAGTTCCATACCCCTAAATTCATAACTGCCTACACTAGGCTTAAAGTAATGTACAGTGACCACCAACAAACTCAGCAATTGGGAAACTGAAATTAAAACAACTCTCAGGAATTCCCTGGCAGTCCAGTGGTTAGGACTCCAAGCTCTCCCTTCTGAGGGCCACAGTTCGATCCCTAGTCGGGGAACTAAAATCCCACAAGCCTGCACGGTGCCGCCAAAACAAAAATAAAACAAAAAAACCCTGAACTCTCCTTCCCCACAAATGTCTCCTCATCTTAGTGAAAGAAAATCACTGCCCACTTGGGAACAAGGGCCATGACTCCTGTTAGCCCATCCCTCCCTGTTAATCTCCACCTCTCCATCACATGCGGCTGATTCCACAACCTAATTAGGTGTTGAAGCTGAGCTCTTTGCTCCAGCCTCTTAGTCTTATCTGGTCTATTTTAATACAATTACATAGGATTATAAAAGTACCCCCCAAAAGCCCAAAATCCCTAAACTGTTTTCAAAGTAGACCTTATACTAAACCTGAATGGTTCCTGAAAGTTTAAGATTTATGTTTAAGGGAGAGAAATAATTTTCTCTGACCATTTCAAACAAAAGGATGTTTATTTAATTTTTCTTAAGTTTTCAGACTTCCATGTTTCATTTGTATTCTGACAGGATCCTTCACAGGCCCGTACCTAATGGCCCGGATCATCTACTCAATATTTAAAAAGGCAAAAAATAGACAATTTTCTATCCTGTTTTATGCAGTTATTTGAAATTTCTATACATTGCTATGTATTTTTAGAGAACACATGTTAATGTACTACATCTTTAACAAGAGCAAAGCATTAAATTTTAATGATGTTACAGTATCATTCTAGCAAGGCCCTAAATCTTTCAAATTCTGAAGTAAGTTTACTTTTTCCATTTAAAAAATAACATATATGAGTCATTTTGAAAAAAAAGTTTCTTCATTTCTTAGGCATGGTTACTCATACAGAATCACACTTTAATAACTAAAGTCAAAATGTGCATGGAATATCTATAATCCAGCTGTTTCTGTGCTGGGCTTTTGCACATATTCAAACCAACATACTGTGAGATGTTGAATGATGTACTCAGGTTTTTTTAAAACCCTTTAGAATAGGATAGATGTTTTCAAATGCTTCATAGATCTCAGAACGTTCTTTGGCACCTATAAAGAAATCCAAGTTTACATAATCATTAAAAACAATACTAAAATTTTCTTAAGACTAAAACTTCATTGTAATCTCCAGTTACTTTTAATACAATAACATCTCTTTAGGGGTACCTGAGAAGTGACATTTATTCCTGGTAAAGACAAAAGAATTTGGTGACCACAGCTACATTCCCACAAACACATACCCTAGAGCAGAGTTCTCCAGTATCAGTATGTCTTTAGCCTCCTAGGGCATAGTATGAAATATGGAATGTTATCTCTCAGTGTGTCATGAATGTGACCACAGAACATGACCTTCATCAGCACCTGTGGGCACTTAGCTACCAGCAAAAGGAACTTCCTTTGATCTACTCATGTCTAGTTAACATGCTGATTCCCTAATACTGACTGAGACAAACTATTCTAAAGTTTTAAATTTCAGTATATGGGAAGGGATTATTAGAGGGGAAAATTGTACCACTGTTACCCTTAAAGTTTCAAGAGCTCTTTAATTATAATTGCTCTAGGAGTTAAAACGGATAAAAACGTGAATTAGACAGTCCCCACCCTTGAAAGAGATTATCAGTCAGCCCTACTCATATCTCTCACCACCAACCACCACTACTAACTTTCCCCTTTCAAAGCTATGAAGGCACATTATGCTAAGGGTTAAGGACTGGTGGTATTTATGTTAATGTGTAACTGTCAGCTAATCGGGAAACTATTATCTGATATTATTGGGCAGGAGGCAAGGAGATTAATGAAAATATAAAAACTGTTAGCATGAAGAAAAATGGAGGTAGTTTAAGTTGGTAAAGACTCATTCTTGAGAACTATAAACAAGGAGGAAGGCTCAGTGAGAGAGCAGGAATAACCTGTGAGAAGTGGTTATCTGGTTGAAGGATGGGACTAGTGAGAGGGAATTACCAAAATGAGGATCACCAGATTTGAGAAGCAGGTAGAAATCAGGATTCAGAATCCAGGATGAGCTATAATAATTTAAAAAATGGAAAATAGCAAGTGTTGGCAAAGAGACTGAGAAATTGGAACCCTCATACATTGCGGGTGGGAACTTAAAATGGTTCAGCTACTATGGAAAACAGTTTGGCAATTCCCCAAAAATGTTAAAATAAGAATTACCATGTGACCCAGCAATTTCACTCCTGGGCATCTGGGTATATACCCCCTCAGATTGAAAACAAGTACTCAAACAAATAACAGGCATGTAGCTGCATATTCATTGCCGCACTATTCATAATAACCCCAAAGTGGAAACAACCTAGTGTCTACCAACAGATGAATGTATAAACAAATTGTGGTAGATACATACAATGTAATATTATATTGCCATAAAAAGGAATCAAGCACTGATACATACTGCAATTGGATGAACCTCAAAAACATTATGCTAAGTGAAAGAAGCCAGACATGAAAGGTCACATATTGTATGATTCCATTTATATGAAGTCTCCAGAATAGGTAAATTCACAGAGACAGAATGAAGACTGGTGATTGCCAGGGGCTAGGGTGAGGGAGAAATGGGGAAAAACTGCCTAATGATATGGGACTTTATTTTGGAGTAATGGAAACGTTTTGGCACTAGATGCGGTGGTTGCACAACATTCTGAATGAACTAAATGCCCCTCAATTGTTCATTTTAAAATGGTTAAATTTGTGCTATTTGAATTTCACCTCAATAAATTTTAAAAAATTTAAGAATCAAAAGTGAAGTACTTATAAGCCTAAAACCGGGGGGTGGGATAGGTAAGGGCAAAAAGTTACTTATTCATTGCCAAAGAATTTACTCTCTGAGTCTCCACCCTCAAAGATGTGGGGTGGGGAGGAAGGTGAATTATTGACATGCTTAACAGAAACTCTGTACCTCTGAGGTAGGAAAAATCCCTTAAGTCTCGGCAAATTTTAATTATAGCACTAGAAGTTTAGTTTCTAAAGAGATTGGTTTTGTAGAAACCAAAAAGTGAGTTGGGGAAGCAGTTAAGTAAAACACTACTATAAAAAGACTCTCTGCCTCTGGTTTGATGGACTTTTTCAGCTTCTGGATACATCTGAACAGAACAGCTTTAATTGGGAGACAGTGAAGTATAATAGGTATAGCAAACACACACACATTCACCCAATGCCCCCCTCCCCTAAACTAAGGTTCTTTTTATATTTAATTGAGTAACAGAGTATCTAGGTCCAGCATTTTGGGTAACCATGTACTTTGGGTTTTTTTCGTAACACTTAAAAAAAAAATCATACCTAATAGCATTACATTCAAGCCCAAAAGAGTATAACGTTCTGGCATCCCCTAGAGAGTAGAAAACATCCATCACCCAAGAGGGAATGGACATTGAGAGTGATCATTATTTTATATCATAGAAAAACAACTTTAGACACAAAAGGGCTTTAGGGAAATTATCTAGTACAATTTTTTTATTTCCTGTGTGGGAAAACGAGGCCCAAGAAGTTGAAGTTCCCCTGAATCATGAGTATCAGCTATGAGGGAAGACCTCATGTATCCAGTGTTCCTTCCTTTATACCAAAAGTCATCAAATAAACATTGCCAGGAATTATAAATCCCAATGAGGGGATTTGGTCAATTTAGTGAAATATCTCCTCACTGAAGTATTGGCATAAAAATTTTGAGGAAACCTAAATTGTCCCCATAGTCCTATTAATAATCAATCTATAATCAAACATCCCAATTTGTAGCACCAGACTCTGATTATATATATGACCCTTCTCTTTTATGCAAAACCTACCAGTCCTTTCCTTCAAGTAATGATGACCACCACTTTGGGGGATAAACGCCATTCCTAACTGTGGCAAATAAGGTAGAAATGCTGTGCCTGGTGCATTGGAGA